TATAATAAATATGCAAAATGTATTATGCACAAAAAGGATTTTTTATGTATGGGAAAGTATTTTTCAATGTAAAACATAAACAAAAATAAAAAGGTCAAATTTTGAATATTTTTATGGTTTAGGGCAAAACCCTAGTTTTTAAATAAATAGTGTTTATTTATTAATTATATACAATATTTGTTAATTATATTCAAAAATAAAAAAGTATATTGCAAAAAAGCATTTTTGATGTCAAATATTAATAAAAATAAAAATGTATTGTTTTCATATTTTTGTCCTAAATATTTAATAAAATATGTATAAGTATTTATATATTATATTAAATATACTAAATATATATAAGAATAAAATATTAATTATTTACAAAAAAAAAAGTATATTTTAGAAAATGTTTTCAAAATGTAAAAAAAAATAATAACTGAAAAATATATATTTTTGTATTATTTTCTAGTGCTTTGAATAAAAAGAAAATATATTTATTTATATGTATATGCTAAATAAAACAACTAAATACCAAATAAATGCAAAAATGTATGGAAAAATATTTTTTATATTTTTTATATTTGAGCAAAAAAATAATAAGTCAGAACAAAAAAGAAAAAATGCAAAATGACAATTATTGCACACAATGGGCCAAGGGGGTGCAAAATGGAAAAAGAGTGTGCAAAGAGCAAAACCAACTCAGGCCCAGCCCAAGTCAACCTTCTTCAACCTCCAGCCTTGTTTCAAACAGAAAACGCGCGCTTCACCATGTCCAACACAAATCCTGATTCCTTGACTTTTAACAAAAACTCATAACATAAACAATGTAGAGCATCAAGAGACGAATTCATACATATAAAAAACTTGACCTAACTCTAAGAAACGAGGGAGAATTTCTTCATCCCCAATTTCTGACCTAAATTTTCTCCAATGTTCATGGCCAAAATTCTCCAAGCATACTCAATATAAATGAAAAGTAAGTATATGGATGGCTTCAGGGCTATGAGGAGAACATGTTTCATTCACAAACCTAAGCCTAACTCTTCCTATATTGAGAGATAGAAGTTCATGTTTTTACCTGTTTCAGCTTGAGTCGTGTACAGCAATGGAGGTATCTTCAATGGAGTTTGAGCTTTGGTACAGCTTGCCTGAAGTCCAAGGATGCTTCTCCTATGCTTGGCTTGCTCTGAAACTGCCTGTATCGTACTATGGAAGTCCACCTGCACAGCTTGAAAGAAAAAATGGCAAACGATGTTAAGGATGTTACAGCTTGGATTTAATGCTTAGGATAGTTTGTGTGGATAATATAGAATGTGTTTGAACTGGTTTTAGTCAAAATGCACGAGTGGAATGGATAGTGGAAGTCAAGTTGCAGAACTTTCTCTGTTTCTGCAGCAGGAGGGTGTTTTTGGGTATGAGGAGGTTTTGAGGATGAAGGAATCGTGCTTTAGGTTAGTTAGGGAGTGTGAAAGATGTTTGCAAAGTTTGCTTTGGCTGGTTTTTAAAGGAATGAGAGATTGATAGTTTTTGCAAGCTTTCTTCTAATGTAAGCAAGGATAGTGTGAGTTCCAATACAGGCCTGTACCACCCTCTTTGTATGTTGCATATCTTGTTCTTGATCAGAGGGATTTGTGTACAAATGCTAGCCTCAAAGATCTGGCCCATGCCTCTTGGATTTTGAATTTGACATAAAGTGCATCTTTATCAAAATGGCATGTTTGCTTTTTCTACTTAAGGATTGATTTTATGTGCAATGCCCAAAGGAAAGAAATAATGCATTAATACAATGGTTAGACATTTAATTATGGTGTGTGAGACTGGTTTTGAGGCCTGCAAGCTAGCTTGTACAAGCTGATTTGAAAAATGCCAATGTTATGAACAAGCCTTGGCCAAGAACAAAAGTGAATTTTGCCCAACTTTGCAAATTCGATTCTCCCTAACCACAAGGGTGTTTGAGAAGTTCTTGGACAATTTGGAAAGCTTGGAATATGTACTACAATCCATATTTGTAATGCAAATTGAAACTCTAAGTGGAAGCATGTGAAAAATGGCCAAGAAGTTGGACAAAAATCCTGCCTAGAATAGGTCAAAAATTTTCTAAGTTAAAAATGTTTTGCACCCTTGTTCCAAAAATCATAACTTGAGCTACAAGCTTCCTTTGAGAAAACTTTGTGAATAAAAGTTGTAGATTTTGCAATGGACTACAACTTTCATGTTTTGAGTTTTGTTTGAATCCATTTTCATCTTGGTGAAAAATTGGGACAAAGTTAGGAAAAAATAAGGAAGTTTCATAACTTAGAAAAATTCTAAGTTATGAAATTTTCTCATTTTAAACCCTAGTTTGCAAATTTGGATTTCTTGATGAACAAGTTTCATAATTTGACATGTCTTGATGAAAAATGAATCTTGGCACTTGATTTTGACCAAAAAGCCAAAGTTTGACTTTTTAGTATACAGTCAAATTTTGATCAGTTCACTGAAAAATTCATCTGCCAATCCTGTGCATTTGAGACCTTTTGAACTTGTTGGATGGATCAAGACAATTCCATTGAGTTATTGAATCCATATGTGAGCTTGGTTTGCCATTGGTTAGGTCAAACAGTCAAAAATTGCCTTTGTGCAGTCAAAACCCTAAAAATGACCATTTTGCCCTTTTGTTGATCTGATCAAATTTCTTGTGGAATTGTGATCCAAACTTGACCAAATGGTTCATATGAGTTCATTATGTTTATGTGGGTAAAATTTCACGAGGTTTGACTGTCAATTGGCCACAGTTGACTTTTTCCCCAATACAACTGATTTCTAGGTCAACTGTCCAATTGACTGGGCAAAGATTGGAATCAAGGCTTGAAACTTGGTATGGATAAACTTGTAAGTCCAACATGAAGCAAGAAAGCCACTTTGGGCATTTTAGGTCAAAACACCTCTGTGCAAACTCAAACCCTAATTTGGGTCAACAGTGTAAGGAGGGGTCTTGAGCAGAGCAAACCCTAACTTGATCTTGAGCTCCAAGAGTCTTGTGATGAGAAAATGTTGATGAAAAGAGAGGGCAAATTTTAGGGTACAATACCTACGTATCCCTTTTAAGGAATCAGAGCATCCGTAGTTCGGCTCAAGAGTTTCTATTGGTTTGTATTTTTTTAATGAATAATATTAATTTCGCCGTCTGCCACAGCTCGACCTTTGGAGACTTACACGTCAGCACAAAAGTGAACTAACATATTCTTTTGAAATAATTTTAAAGAAAATTCTGAAGGCGTAAAAAGTTTGCATTGGTTGATAACTTTTACCTTAAAAAGGATTTGAAAGTTGTTAGATGTTTTATGATTTGCCAAGAAAAAGAGTTTTAGTCTTAATGCAAGGATGTTAAAGAAAGCAAAACAACTAAGGGATACTATCTAGTTTTATCCCTAATGTTATCAAACAATGACTGATCCTAAGGTCGAGGATGAAAGGGGAAATTTCTACCATATCTTAGCATGCATGAATACCTATCCTAATGTCTAACTCGAAAGCTACTCTAATCGAGCGATCCTAAGGGAAGCATACAAATTCCTATTCTAAGGGAAAATGGTATAGCAAACAAATAAGATAATAAGTGATTTGAAAAAAGAACACAAACATGAGTAACACATACCGACTTAAAGGGATGGGAGAAACAACCGAAATGCTTTAGCTAAGGGGAGCGTATCACCCAAAGCAAACAAGCGGGAGACAAATGAAATCAAAAAGGAAAGCAATTGTTGTACTCCGAAATTTTCCCTCCCATTTTCTTCAACACATTCTCCTAAGGTTCTCAAATGCTCAAGATGGCTCAAGAATTGATCAGATAAATTCTCCTCCTAAGCAATGGAATCACGTCTAGGTATTTGTATTTCTCAAGGAAGATTGGGTTTCCAAGGTCTCAAGTAGTTTTCATGGTTCTTCATATGTGTCATACCCCAATTTTTGACCTAAGATCCCTTCTTCATTTGCATCGTTTTATATATACATCAAGGTCACGGAATATGGTAGGTTTCGAACGTTTCGCTTTCGAGCTTTGAGTGTGTAGAGATTATCGAGTGTTGTGAGCATTTTATCTTATGAAGGACTAACCACTAATCAAGCACAAAGTGTATGTTTTGTTTTTTTATTCCATGTGCAGGAAATAGGTCTGAAAGAAGAGCATCGGACGTCACACATCAAAATAATTTCAGATAATCGTGTGTTTATTTCCACGCTCTGTCCAACAGATGGTCTCCAGTGTCTCTGAAATTTTTTGGAAAGAACAGTCGAAGTTTTACTGCCATTGGTTCATGTGTGTTTCACATTACTTTAAAATACAAGAAAACCAAGTTATGCCAGTCATCTTCGATCACTTCGACCAAAAGTCATCTACAAATTTTTTCATGATGTGGGGTGAATCTCGTCAAAATGGGATGATTAAATTCAAGACCGTTCTAGAAGAATTTATTCGGAATACTTGGAATTTTCTTTATTTGAATTCAAGCGATAATTAAAGAGGAGCTACCAAGAGATCTCACAAGAATAATCATTTATCGCATGAAATATTTATTCAAGATTATTTTGTGTGAATATTTTGGTGGATTTATATTATGGTTATTTGACCACACATGAAGCATTTACTAAGAAGATATTAGAAGAAGAAATTTGATTCAAATAATCGTTCATCACAAGATTAATTACATGAGGATTGATATTTGATTACAAAATTAATTCATGTGATTTATTTGGATCTCTATTACAAATGCAAGATTAAAGTCTAAGACTTGCATTATTATTTTATTCATCATTCAACAATTTATTCGAGTATTATTCAATTCTTTCCCAATTCAAATGGAAGATCTTGAATTTTTATCAAGACATATGAAGATTCAATTTCAAATGAAGATTCAAAGTTATTTACAATTACAAGGGAATTGAGAATATATTGAAGAATACATATTCATTCATGTTACAATTTACTTGGATTTATTATTACAAAGTTACAAAAGAAATGAAAATTTTGTACATGAAAATCAAGCTATTATTCTTGCTACAAAATATTCCCAATGCTGCCCATTTTTCCAGCACTGTTTTAATCCAATAACAGTCCAATTCTTGAGTATAATGCTGTCCATTTTCTCCAACCTTGTTTCAACAAAGACCATGTCAAGTTGTTGTCCTATTCTACCCTGCAAAACAGTCCAAAATGCAGCCCATAAGACAAAAATCTGCACATTTGCTGCTACAAAAACCAGTCTACAAAACTCCAAATATTGCACTAAAATTCATACTTCAAAAAGTTGTCTCATAAAACATCAAAACAGAGCCTAAAATAGTTTAAATATATACTATTTTCCCCCCCTAAAACCCCATATATTTCACTATAAATAAGGGCCTCTATCAACAGAAAAGGGGAGAGTTTTTTCCAAGAATCACAACAAAAAAATCAGAAGAGGAACATCAAGTGAGAGAGAAAAATTCAGAGGGAACCACACATAGAAAATTCAGCAAGTGTAACACAAAACTCAACAAGAAAAATACAGAAATTCAAGGAGAGAAAACTTAGCGTTTTAAAGCCCCATCGGAGAGGCTCCGATAGGTATTTTTTTTCCTCCCTATTTACTTCTGCATAACTTCCTCATTCATATGTTTGAATCTTCTCTTTACACCACTTGTATGCCATGTGAATGCTTACTTTATCATACTTTTTGTTGTATTTTGAGTCGCTGCAACATATGGATATTTAAAAATTTTAGAAGTCATAATAATAGTAATAACATAATTAATTAATAAAAATATTACTTCAAAGCAGAATCTGTTTAATAATCAAAACACTTCCATCTCAACACGTAACCCCCTGCCTATGCCGTAACAAATCTCATAAACAAAAACTCTGAACCAAACTTTGAACCAAACTCTGAACCAAAACTCAAAACCAAAACTCAGAACCAAAACTCTGAACCAAAACTCTGAACCAAAACTCTGAACCAAAACTATGAACTGAAACTCTGAACCAAAACTCAGAACCAAACTCTGAACCAAAACTCTGAACCAAAACTCAGAACCAAACTCTAAACCAAAAAACTCAGAACCTGTTAACTCAGAACCAAAAACTCAGAATAAAAACTCAACGAAACTTGCAATACAGTGACGACATGCGCCGAAACCAAGAGAACATCCATTATATAAATATAACAACTCCATTCAGTTACAACCATTCACCGCCACACACAAAAATTGAAATGCCTTCTAAGCACCCATCATTATCTCCCTCTACCCAGTTCACGTTATCGCATCTCCCTCTTGTCCACCACCGAACAACCCCTTCCATTTTTGTTCTTCTGTTTTCATAGATTTTGAGTTTGAAGGCAGAGACGAAGTGGAAGGTTATATTGTTGTTAACTAAATTGAAGAAGGAAATCAGTTTGAATGGAAAAGATGGATGAAGTCATGGAGAGAGCAAGGATAGAGAGATGTTGAAGGTGATTCATAGAGAGAGTCTTTTTGTTTTTTTACGGTAACTTGGAAAACAGAGTTTTATTTTTGGAATTAGTAATAATCAATTTTCTTTCCCTTCACAATGACAACAACGGCGCCTCTTTGTTATTAGGGTTTTCCAAAACATTTCCTTATTCTCTTCCAAATCGGGTCAGCCCTATTGGGCATGTTGGCCCAATCATATTATCATTATTCCCCTTATTTTAATTAGAACATAACCATAATAGATAAACAAACACGACTCAGTGGAAAGGCATACCATTGACAACCTAAGGCTCAAGCTCGATCCTTGTTAGGGTACTTTTTTTGTTTCTTTTGCTCTTTTAACCCTTTCCTTTCAATTCTATTTGATTTATATATAATATTAATTTAGTTCTTCATAAAAATATAAAAATACAAATCACGCTTAATTCAATTTATCTTTTATTTAATTTTTGTCATGCTATTAATCTTTCATTTAATATTTTTGTTATTTATTAAATTTCTTAGAATACATGTTATAAATTAATTTTTTGTTTAAATTTTCATTATTTATTTAATGTTTTATAAATTAAATCTTCTACTTAATATTTGTTATTTTAATTATTCAAACAAATGTTTTATTTAATTTTTGCTACTCAAAATTGCATGCTAGTAAATTAGTTTTTCTATCTAATTTTTGCTATTTATTTAATTGTTCAATTGTCATTTAAATTAATTTTATCATCGATCGTTTAATCTTTATATCTTTCGTCCGTCTCAAATCCAAGGGAAATGTTTTAACTTTGTTGACTTCACGTCATCAAACACATCGTGCGAATACCCTCATTCATCTTTTGTTTGTTTACTATTTTGCTAAACCTAAGATAATTTTCCTAAAAGACCCCACTTTTAAAATCACACCTTTTAAGTCAAAACTTCGACATTAAGTCGTCGTATCTTCAAAATCTCGTTCGCACCCATTTTAGCCAAACAAACCATTTTAATCAAATAAACAATTTTAATAAACAAATATTTCAAAAGGTTCATATAGGATACTATAGATGCATTGGATGCTAATATCTTCCCATTGCATAACTAACCCCCGAACTCTAGATCTCTTTTCAAAAATGCATTGTATTTTCATTACGTTTAAATATTATTTTACATTGCATATTTTAGGGTTTTATTTTGCTCTTTCCCATTTCTCTTGGAAATAATAAAGCGCGGTGGCGACTCTTGCTTTTGTGAGTCGAGTTAATTAATAGCTCGGTCTCCGATTTACCCCGCTACATTTTTATCGCTACAGAATTGGCGACTCTGTTGGGGACAGATTGACCTCTTGTTGGTCCATCCCTAAGTGGGTTCCTAGTTTGTCTGATCTGTTTTATCATTATTTGATTGTTTGATTATATGTTTATATTATGGTTATTTGGGTGTTAATGATATTTACAAAGGACAAGTCTTATACTCTGACTAAGTTACACTTAAGAATAGGACGGGCGGTATAGTCATGTTAACTTTGAGGGAGTAATCCCGAAGAAGGAGGCATGAAATCCCCCACTCAGTGGAAATCCCCTTTGAACATAGTATTTGTTTACCGGGTAATCGGGAAGATATTATTGCTTTCTACCTGGGAGCCAGAGAAGCTGAGAATCGCAGAACCCTAACCCATCTTGGCCTTTTAGGTGTAGCATGGAGACTATCACGGAGTAATCCGAAAGTAGTTGTCATGCGATGCTACGCTCAGATGAGTTTCTCTTGAGAATATTGCTAATTATTGAGTAATCAAGACGTTGGTAATATCCTAAGGAGGAATGTAAACTCTGGGAACTCTTAGAACCTTGTCTTGCAGGTGTGATTAAACCTTTAGTACATACCCTGGGGGTGGGCTTTAACTTTGACTCCATGCTCGAAGCGTTGAACCTTTGAACCCCATGTTTGTGAACTTAAGTGTAATTTTTGCATTATCATTCATCCATACATCCATAAGCATTTTTTGTAAAACATGTTTTTCAAGGAACTTAAGAATGATTTTTACAGACATCTCAGGTACTGTTATTATGGATTTTGGAAAAAGAAACACTCGAAGATATAGTTTTAAGGAGCCTGAGATTGAAGAGTTGAAGAGTTTGATTCCCAAGATTGAGAACCCTACGGAGTTTCAAAAGAAATATGGATCCATTATACCTCTCATGAAGCTCAAGATGAAGGAAGGCATCCTTAGTACGTTGGTCCAATTCTATGATCCTTTATATTGATGCTTCACCTTTCCTGATTACCAGTTGATGCCCATTTAGAAGAGTACTCCTATATAATTGGTTTGCCGATCACCGACTGTGTTCCTTTCTCTGGTTTAGAAGAGGAACCCAAATCTCACGAGATAGCAACCATCACCCACTTGAGGAAGTCGAAGATAGAAGAGAACATGACTGCTAAGGGGGGAATCCGAAGCTTATCTGAGCAGTTTTTGTTGAAGAAAGATCGTCACTTCGCTGAGATAAAAGATATTGTTGCCTTTGAAGATGTCTTTGCTTTACTTGCTTATGGATTGTTCTTATTCCCTAACATCGATAAGTTTGTGGATATCAACGCCATTAGAATCTTCTTGATTGGAAATCCGGTCCCTACGCTGCTAGGAGATACCTACTACTTCATCCATCTTCGAAACTCCTATCAAGGAGGGATGATTATCTGTTGTGCACCGTTGCTATACCAGTGGTATGTTTCTCATCTACCTAGGTCTGATGTTTTCTGGGATCTCGAGAAGGAGCCACGATGGGCGCCAAAAATTATGGCTCTTACTCATTCTGACATAGATTGGTATAATCGAGCTTACTACGACGTGAAGATCATCGATAGTTGTGGTGTTTTTCCCAATGTGCCTCTTCTTGGTACGAAGGGAGGAATTAATTAATATCCTGTTCTCGCACGCTGCCAGTTTGGATACCCGATGAGGGATAAGCCGAACAACATTCATGTGAGTGGTTTCTTTCTACAAGAAGGAAAAGATCACCAAGCGGCTAAGGAGGAGATTGAAAGGGATTGGCGTCACAACCATAGAAAGGGGAGAGACATGTCAGGGCATAGAGGTGCTGTTTCTTTGGAGCCTTACCTTCAATGGGTTCGTGTTAGGGCTTGTGCTCTCAAGATGCCTTATAATCCCGAGAAACCATTATTCCCTGTTGTTGCATCATCTATTGATATCCCTACCGAGAACATGAGGGAGTACCAAGAAAATCTGGCTAAAATGAAGTCCGAAAGAGATGCTTGGAAGGAAAAGTATAATATGTCTGAATATGAAAATAGGATCCTGACTCGACAGCTGAAGGAGAAGGAGGATATGCTATTTATTCAAGACGGTCGGTTTATTGATCATGATGAGAAGCTTCGTCAAAAGGATGCATTACTCAAGAAATATGCTAATGAAAGGAAGAGGAAGAAGGAAGATTTGGTAGGCGTTGCTCCTGTTCCTAATCCACGGAAGGAAATCATCGATCAACTGGTAGCTGAGAAGAAAGAGATGGAAGACTTCTATGAAGAGAAGATTAGGAAGCTCCAGTTACAATTGGCATTTTTTCCTTCATCCGATGATGATTCTGAGTGACCTTTAGTTCCTAGTTTTTTATTATTATTACTTATGTCATTTTGTAAAACTCCGTAAAAGGGCTTCATGTTCCAAAGTTGTAATTTATTGCTTTTATTAATGGGTTTTGTTGTCCCAAAGTTGTAATTTACTGTTTTTATTAATGGGTTTTGTTGTCCCAAAATTGTAATTTACCACTTTGATTAATGAAATGAGTTTTTGTTGTTCCAAATTCCTTTACCATTGATGTGTGCAAAGTTATCAAAGTTCTAAAGCTCCTTGAAAAACTATCAAAATAAACGATCATTTGCATCGCACATCATGCATCATCCAACATTCAACTTCAAATGTTTTCTAGAGTCTTATTCTTGTTTCTCTTTCCACTCTGATAGATTGTGAAGTTGTCTCACCGGTACGATACCCAAGCCAATCGTCAAAAGAGGATGGAGGATCTGGATCAGGAAAATCACGAGCTTCGTGAAGAGGTTACTACTCTCCGTGTTGGAATGGAAAAGTTGACCGCGCTGGTGGAAAGCTTGATGGCTTCTCAGAACCATCCATCGACTTCAGCCGTTGAAATTCAAACTTCAACTACTGTGGTTTTCGAGATCGTCACCGCTCCAACATCTGTGACCCAAGTCAACTCTCCGCTCCGAAATCAAATTCCGAAAGGTTTTCCGTGGGGTATGTCGTACAACTTCATGCCAGAAGTGTACCAGCCTGCTGTACAACCCATGATTCAACCTGTTGTGTCACATCCTCAACCTGAGACAACTATTATGCAACCTGTAATCCATCCTATGGTATCTTTCCCTCAACATGTGATGACTATTGTCACTCCTGTGGTTCACACTATTCCATATACAAATGAACCCGTTTATCATGCTGAACCTGCTAATAGTTTGGGCCTCTTCGATAGGATGGAGGAGTTCCAAGACCAATTTCAAGAGATGCAGAGGGAAATTAGAGCGCTTAAAGGGAAAGACTTGGTTGGGAAAAATGCTCATGACTTGTGTTTAGTCCCAAACGTGAAAATTCCAACTAAGTTCAAAGTGTTGGACTTTGAAAGATACAAAGGTGACTCGTGTCCGCAAAGTCACTTGACCATGTATGTGAGAAATATGTCCACCTATTCTGATGATCATAATTTATTAATTCACTACTTCCAAGACAGTTTGACTGGTGCCACTCTGAAATGGTACATGGGTTTGGATAGCACCCGAATCCGTAACTTCATTGACCTTAGTGAAGCTTTTATTCGTCAATACAAGTACAATGTTGACATGGCCCCAGACCGAGATCAACTCCGGGCTATGTCCCAGAAAGATAGAGAGTCCTTTAAAGAATATGCCCAGAGGTGGCGCGAGATTTCCGCTCAAATTTATCCTCCCCTTGAAGAGAACGAAATGACAAATATTTTCCTGAAAACTTTAGGTTCGTTTTATTATGAGAGAATGATTGTGAGTGCGCCTAGAGACGTCATTGAGATGGTGAATATGGGCATGCGGCTTGAAGAAGGAATTCGTGAAGGACGTTTGGTCAAGGAAGGAGGTACATCTAGTGGTGTCAAGAAGTTTGGAAGTGTCTTCCCCAAGAGGAAAGAACAAGATGTCAGTGCAATTTTTCTTGGGAGGTCGAGGAGGGGGTATTCACATGTTGCGGCAGTCACTCCTGCTGTCCGCCCAACAATGGTGACCCCAACTTATCAAGGCCCTCCAATTCAACAACAGAAATTTCAGCAACAGCCTCGACAACAGGCTCATCAATTCAACAACCAGAATCATTCGCCGAGGAAACCACAATTTGATGCCATCCCAATGACTTACACTGAGTTGTTCCCCGCTCTGATCCGAAGAAATCTCATAACGACGAAGCCTCCTCCTATTGCACCGAATAATACTTCTCCTTGGTACAAGGCGGATCAACTCTGTGCATATCACCAAGGTTGACCGGGGCATAATATTGAAAATTGCTTTGCTTTGAAGGCAGGTGTCCAGAGGTTAATCAAGAACGGTATTTTGTCTTTCAAAGATGTTAACCCAAATGTTCGAGATAATCCTTTGCCTAGACATGGGGCAGCGTCGGTGAATATGGTAGAAGGATGTCCTGGAAAGTTTTGAGTTTACCAAGTTGAGCACATAAGGGACTCGTTGATCAGGTTACATCAAAGCTTAAGTATACTCGCTTTCTTTAAACATCGACATGATTATGACGTTTGTGAATTTTGTTCAATAGAAGATGATTGCCCTATTGTGAAAGAGGATATTCAGAAGTTGTTGGATCAAAGGGTTATCACCATTGCATATGACAGAGATCCAGATGATGAAGTGAATGTTATAGTTCCACAGTTTAACATGCCCGAGCCAGTAGAGATTGTTTATGATAGTCAGACTTCACCCGCTGCTCCTTTGATTATTTGTCCACCTGGTCCCATGCCTTACAACTCCGACCAAGCTATACCATACAAATATAACGCCACAATGATTGAGAATAGGGTAGAATTTCCTATACCGCAAATGCCATCTTTTGTTAATATTGCTGATGTGAGTAGAGTCACAAGGAGCGGACGTATCTTTGTAGCAGTACCATTGAAAAGGCCTGAAGTTCAAGTTAGAAGGCCTATATCGGCAGAAATTCCAATGAGGAATGTTGAACCAAGAGTTGAGGTAGGCCGATCTAATGAACCTAGCCCACATCCTGATGATGATGAGATTTTGAAACTCATTAAGAGAAGTGAATACAAGATTGTGGACCAACTATTGCAAACTCCTTCCAAAAAATTTGTGCTTGCTTTACTAAGAGATTCTGGTGCCCATAGGGAAGCTTTGATTAAGGTCTTGGACCAGGCTTTCGTAGATCATGATGTGACTGTTGACCAGTTTGATGGAATTGTGGGAAATATTACTTCATGTAACAATCTTGGTTTCAATGATGAAGAGCTTCCGGAGGAGGGAAGGAACCATAATATGGCTTTGCATATCTCAATAAGTTGTGGAAATGATACTTTATCAAGGGTGCTATTAGATACAGGTTTATCATTAAATGTACTTCCCAAAACTACATTATCTCGACTTTCACATCAAGGTGCTCCTATGAGACCTAGTGGGGGTAATTGTCAAAGCGTTTGATGGTTCTAGGAAAACTGTCATCGGTGAAGTGGATCTTCCTATAACAATTGGTCCTCATAACTTTCAGATCACTTTTCAAGTAATGGATATTCGTGCCGCCTACAGTTGCCTATTGGGTCGCCCATGGATCCATGATGCAGGGGAAGTCACTTCCACGCTCCATCAAAGATTGAAGTTTGTAAGGAATGGAAAGCTGGTAATAATTGGTGGAGAATAAGCTATGGTGGTAAGCCACTTGTCATCTTTCTCTTTTATCGATGCTGATGAGGATGTTGGAACCCAATTCCAAGCTCTATTCATTGCTAGTAATGAAGTGAAGAAGCAAGGGACATATTTTTCTTCTTTTGAAGATGCGCAACGAGTGGTTGAGAGTGGTTCGGCTGAAGGTTGGGGCCAGGTGTTGACTTGTCCTAAGAACAAGTATGGAGAAGGTTTTGGCTTTCATCCCGTGTCTGCAAGAGTTAAGCAAGATACAGTTACCCG